AAGAAAAATGTTCAGTTCACACCAAAAGCCATATTAAAAAATGTATTTATTATGATAGCACACTAGCAGAACTGAAAGTGTTCATAGGTCTGCTGTGCTTAGCTGGGATTTCTCATGGTGATCACAGGAATGTAAAAGACGCATGGAAAAATGATGGGCCTAAATATGGCATAAAATTGTATGCTCTTATTATGAGTCCAAGCTGCAGAATGAGATCCTGTACCAAATATATTTAAAAAAAAATTATGCTGTTGTAGATGCAAAGACTTACGTTTTCAACTTTGAAATTTATCCTGGAGCTCAACCTTACTCAGTAATTGTCTTAGTTAATCTTCTCTTGTTGCTGGGACAAATACTCGACACTCAAAATGAGGGAAGGAAAGGTTTATTTAGCTTACAGTTACTGGAGGTTTCAAGACATTGGAGGAGAGGCTGGGGCGCTGCCCTGTCCAGGATGATCCTCTCCATACCTCTCAGAAAGCACAGGCTAGCCAGTTTAATGGTTCGTGCCTCTCTGGTCCTGTCCCTTGGGCCCCATTCTGGTCCTCAAGCCAGGGTGTTCCTCCAGACGCATCTTCCCCATCACTTACATGGGGTTTTGGGGGGACAACTAGACACAAATGATAGCAGTAATAAATCAAGTGATGTTGTGAACAGACTTTTTTGCTCCTATCTCCCAAACATATCAGAATATGACATTTGACAACTGGTTTCCCAGTTTCCAATTAATCTTACAATTATTAACAGAGAACAACTTGACCAGTGCAGGAAAAGTACACAGGAATAAAGCTGAAATTCCAAGTGAAATGTTGCAGTTTCAAAACAGAGAATTGTATAGTACAATCTTTGAATTTCAGAAGAATTTACATTGGCCTTGTACATGGCAAAAAACAAACAAACTGGTAATGCTGATGTCAACACTGCACCATGATAGAAATATTGATGTGGAAACCTCAACAAAATGAAAACCTGAGATGGAAACTTTCTACAACAAAAGGTGGAGTAGACGTTGATGAGTTATGGAGCAACTATGTTGTCAATTAAACCACAAAACATTGGTGTTTTATTCAATGTTAAAGATGTGTGGCATAAATAGTTTGATAGTTTACAAACAAAACGACAAGTGAAAAATACTACAGAGAAATTTTCTTAGAGAATTAGTACTAGACCACATAAGATCATTTACAGCAGTAGAAAAGAAAATGTTTCTGCCCGGGTAAGTATGCAAAAAACTGTGGCCCACACAGGTAAGCTGACATGTGAGAGGGCAGGTACTGCATCCCAAGGACTATTAGAGCAACAAGAAAACCAAAAAAAGGTCAACTGTGCCCTACAAGAAAGGACAAGAAAACAAAACAAGTGTGCTTGGGCGGGGGATATAGCTCAACAGGCACAGGGCCTGCCTGGCAAGCGTGAGGTCCTGAGTTTGATTCCCACCACAAAATAACCCACATACATACAATCAGTGTAAGGGATATTTGTGTATGGAATGTGCAATTTTCATGAGTGAAGATTGTGTCGAATGTGACAATTGAAGCAAAGATTTTTTTTTTTTTTGGTAGATTTCTATTGGTATTTTCATTGTACATCACACAAGTTTTTATTTCTGCTATCTCTTATGTTTTGTAAGCAAGTAAACAGCTAATGTGAAAATGTTGGGCTGGCCAAATAGCTCTGCTAAGCAGATAAAACCATTTGCTTAGATTCAGTGGCTGGGAGTTGGATCCCAGGGCCTGCCTGCTGTGCTGGCCCCACCCCCAGGGCATGCTGAGACAGCGACTGAGACTGGGCACAGTGGTGCCTGTCTATAATTCCAGCATGTGGGAGGCTGTAAACAGGAAGATCACTACTAGTCCAATTACGCAGTGAGACCCTGCGCATCTTGCCCTAAAATACAAAAA